AAGATTTAAGAAGACAGAATTTCTGAGTTTACTGTTGAAGGTTTCCCCTGAATAAACTCTGGGAGATATGGCTGTTCTCAAATGCATACATCACAACCCAAAGTAGCAAGGCACAAAAAGGAAACAAGGAAATATGGCCTGACTAAAGGAACAAAATAAATCTCCAGAAACTGACCTTAATGAAACTGAATATAAATTACCTGACAAAAATATTCAAAAGCACTGTCATAAATATGCTCAATGAACTCAGGAAAATAATGCATGAATAAAATGAGAACATCAATAAAGATAAATCATTTTTTCTAACATTTTTATTGATTTCAGAGAGGAAAGGAGATGGAGAAAGATAGAAACATCCATGATGAGAATCACCGATTGGCTGCCTCCTACACGCTCCCTACTAGGGACTAAGCACACAACCCAGGCACGTGCCCTTGACCGGAATCCAACCCGGGACCCTTCAGTCCGCAGGCCCAAGCTCTATCTATTGAGCCAAACCAGCTAAGGTGAGAAATAATGTTTTTAATGGAAATTTTGGTGCTGGAAAATATAATAACTGAATTGCATATTTCACTAAATGGGTTCCACAGCAGACTTAATCAAGCAGAAGAAAGAATCAAGGAACTCAAAGACAAGTCATTTGAAATTATTCAGTCAGAGAAACAAACAAACAAACAAAAACAATAAAGAAAAGTAAAGGAAGCTTAAATAACTTAGGGGCTATCATCAATCAGACTAATATATGCACTATGGAAGGCCCAAAAGGAGGACAGAGAAAGGTGGAAAAGGCATATCTGAAGAAATAATGATGAAAATCTGTGGAAAGAAAGGGACATTCAGATTCAGGAAGCCCAACAGCCTCTTATGAAATACAAGAAAAGCAGTACTGAGACAGAAGTTGAGTGGTAAATGTCTACATTAAAATAGAAAGAGCTCAAATAAACAACTCAATTTTGTACCTCAAGAAACTAAGAAAAGAATAAATTAATATTAGCAGAAGGAAATAATAAAGTTAGAGCTGAAATAAACAAAATGGGGGGGGGGGGGGGAGTAAATCAGTAAAACAGTTTTTTGTTGTTTTCGAAAGACCAGGAAATTGGCAAACCCTTAACTAAGAAAAAGAGAGAAGATTCAAATAAATAAAATCAGAAATAAAAAATAATATTACAACTGATGTCACAAGAGAATAAGAATTAACACTAATCATTCTCAAATTCTTCCAAAAAATTTAAGAGGGAACACTTACACACTTATTTTATGAGGCCAGCATTATTCTGATACCAAAGCCAAACAAAGAACTACAAGAAATACAGACCAATATTCCTAATAAATATAAATGCAAAAAAATTCTTAGCAAAATACTAGCAAACCAAATTCAACAGCACAGTAAAAGAATGATACACCATGAGCAAGTGGAATTTATTCCTAAAATGCAAGAATGATTCAACAATTTTGAGCAAGAAGAAAAAAAACTAGAGGCCTCACACTTCCTGACTTCAAAACATATCACAAAGCTACAGTAATCAAAATAATATGGCACTGGCATAAAGATAGGCATAAACCAATGGAAGAAAATAGAGAAATTCATGCACATGATAAATTGATTTTTTGCAAGGATGCTAAGAACACACAATAGGAAAAAGATAGTCTCTTCAACAATGTTGGGGGAAAAAAACAATTTCCACATGTAAATGAATAAAATTGGACTCTTTTATTACACTAAATACAAAAATCAACCCAAAATGAATTAAAGACAAACACAAGACATCTATATATATAAAAGGCTAAGTGTCCACCCACCCGACTGGTAGCTATGACATGAACTGACCACCAGGGGGCAGACGCTCAACGCAGGTGCTGCCATGAGGCGCACTGGCCATTTAAAAATAAACTGCACTACAGACCTGGCATCAACAAACCAACACTCAGCTTCCCCCAAGTGGGACACAGGCCCCGCCACCACCCTGGAGCAACAACCCACCAAATCGCAGCCAACGCTGCCAAGACCCCATGGTGCAAAATGCAGCCCACAGCCTACAGCCCAGCCTGGAAACTGTCACTGTGGGCGCCAGGTACTGACATCACGTAGCAATGCCTGGCTTCCTCTCCCTAGCCAACTAGCCTCCTTGGAGTTTCTTCAGCCCAGGAACCGACTTCCTTTATAGCCAGGTGCAAAAGCATTTTACAATTTAACCAAATGTTGTGAAGCGTTTTCCCGTGCCTCATCTCATTTGATCCTCACAGAGGTCCTGGAGTAGGTAGATAGTAGAATCTTATTTTCTTTTCATTAGCAAGATGCCAATAGTGATATTAAAATATTTCTTCTAATTAATTTCCTTTCAATGTGCATGAATCTGTGCACCAGGACATTAATGAAACTATAAAACTCCTAAAAGAGCCCTGGCCAGTTTGCTCAGTGGTTAGAGTGTTAGCCCTCAAATCTAAGGATGACAGGTTTGATTCCTGGTTAAGGGCTTGTACCTTGGTTGTGGGTTCAAACCCTGGGGCACGTGCAGGAGGCAACCAATGGATGTGCCTCTCTCCTATGTCGATGTTTCTCTCTCTCTGACTCCCCCTCCCCCCAACCACCCTTTTCCCTCCCTTCCACTCTGTATGAGAAAATATCTTCAGGTGAGGATATTTTTTTTTAATTCCTAAAAGAAAATACAGGGTAAAGCTTCATGTCTTGGCGATGCCTTTCTGGACATGACACCAAAACACAGGCAACAAAAGCAAAAACATACATGTGGGACTATATTGAACTAAAGAGCTTCTGCACAGTAAAGGAAACATTCAACAGAGTGAAAAGGCAACCTACAGAATGGGAGAAAATATGTGCAAACCATACATCTGATAAGGGTTAATATCCAAAAATAAATAAGGAACTCCTACAACTCAACAACAACAAAATCAAATAACCTAATTTTAAAATGGGCATGGATTTGAATAAACATTTCTCTAAAGACATAAGAATGTTCAATGTTGGCATGACCATTATTAAAAAAACAACAACATGTGTTTTCAAGGATGTGAAGAAAGGGGAACACCTGTAAACTATTAGTGGGAACGTAAAATGGTGTAGCTGCTATGCAAATCAGTATTGAGGTTCCTTAAAAAATTAAAAATAGCCCAGCTAGTTTAGCTTAGGGGTTGAGTGTCGACCTATGAATCAGGAGGTCATGGTTCAATTCCGTCAGAGCACATGCCTGGGTTGTGGGCTCAATCCCCATAAGGGGCGTGGTGGAGGCAGCCGATTGATGATTCTCTCTCATCATTGATGTGTCTCTCTCTCTCTCTTCCTCTCTGAAATCAATTAAAAAAATACATATGTATTAAAAATTAAAAATAAAACTATCATGCAATCCCACTCCTAAATATGTATCCAAAAGAATTGAAAAGAGGATATAAGAGATATCGGTACCCCCATGTTCACTCTGGTATTATTCACAATAGCCAAGAAGTAGAAGCAACCTAAATATCCAGTACAAATCAATAGTATTCAGCCTTAAAAACAAAAGTCTTGTCATGTTACAACACGGATAATGAACTGTGAAGGCATTAATGCTAAGTGAAGTTAGCCAGTCACAAAAGGATAAATATTGCATAATCCCATTTAAATGAGGTATTACTATACTCCAGCGGTTCTCAACCTGTGGGTCGCAACCCCTTTGGGGGTCAAATGAACCTTTCACAGGGGTCGCCTAAGACCATCGGAAAACACATATATAATTACATATTGTTTTTGTGATTAATCACTATGCTTTAATTATGTTCAATTTGTAACAATGAAAATACATCCTGCATATCAGATATTTACATTACGATTCATAACTGTAGCAAAATTACAGTTATGAAGTAGCAACGAAAATAATTTTATGGTTGGGGGTCACCACAACATGAGGAACTGTATTATAGGGTCGTGGCATTAGGAAGGTTGAGAACCACTGCTTTAGTCAAACTCACAGAAGCACAAAGTGAAATAGTGGTGGCCCAGGACTGTGAAGAGGGGAAATGAGTAACTGCTCTACAATGAGAATAGAGATTCAGTCAGAAACGATGTAAAAGTTCTAATACAATGATGTGCATGTAGTTAACAATACTGCACTGTACACTTAAAAATGTGTTAATAGGCTAGATCTCATGTGTTTTTTACCACAATAAGCAAAGGCAAAAATGAAGTATACTAGTATATGACATGACTTGCTGGTAATGAACCATGCCAGCTTCTGGAGATCAGCATTTCCATTTGTAAGTACTCACATCTTTATGGAATTTTATTTACAGAACTGAAGCTCACCAGTATGGCTTTCAAAATCCACTGTCTCTTTGGAAATCAGAATGGCACCTGTCCATCTTAACCTTTCCTTTAATATAGGATTTCCTAAATATTATTTACAGTGGTTTCTAAAATTCATCTGCAAATTCTCTTAGTACTCTGAGATGACATTAATCTGCGACAGATTTAAAATAAATGACAACAGTTAGATACATACTTGCTCTCTTACATGCTATGTACCTACCTCAATTTCTTTCTCACAACTGTTGTTTGTTTCCTTTCCAAATTAATGTGCAATGTCTCAGAGAAGCAAACTAAAACAAAAATGTTGAGTATTTCTGCTTTTTCTATCTGCTCCATTATATCAAACAGCAGGCCCAAGCTTTTAACAGTGCAATTAATAAAATGCATGGTACTTTTTAATTTTTATTTGTTAGTCCTCACCAAAAGATGTTTTGCTTTTTATTATTTTTAGAGAAAAGGGAAGGGACAGAGAGAAACATTGATTGATTGCCTCCCGTATGCACCCCGACTGAGAATCAAACCCACAATCTAGGTGTGCCTTGACAGGGAATCAAACCTGCATCCTTTTGGTGTATGGGACTATGCTCCAACCAACTGAGCCACCTGGCCAGGGCAAATGAATGGTGCTTTTGATATAAGTTGTCATTATTTATATAAACTTTAAAAATATAGTTATTAAAATTATAATTTCACTGCTTACTTTTAAATATGCAGCTGCCTCTTGTACAGAAAGTGTTCTCTGACTAGAACTGCCACATTCATGATCTCCTGGAAAGATTAGCATATTATTAATTTTGGATCAGTACGATGTTCAATGGAAGAAAACATATTAATCAAAATATTTTACAAATCGCAATTATAGTTATTATATTCACTAAAGAAAGATGAACATTATTTATATTTATTTCCTAGGAAAAATCCAAGTAATGTAAATAAACAATTACCTTTACATAAACCACAGCCTTTAACATGCATTACAGTCTAGATAAGGACTTATCTTCCTCTTATATTCACAACTACATGTCACACTATGCCTATCCAAAGATCTTGGTACACAGAAGGCCCTCCTTAGATTCATTATTTTTCAAGTGGGAAAACTCACTGTTCTAACATACACATCTATCACTAAAACTAATAGTTCAAGTGTTCAAATAAGTTTTAATTAAAACACATTTTCAGAATGTAACTAAGCCTATCTTTAGCAAGTAGTGCACATGCCTTAAAAATTATTATAACACATCAACAGGGAAATTAGAAGATTCTGGCTATAATCTGGTTTCTACAGAAAAGCACATTTTCCTTTTCTTGTCACTATAAAAGAATCCAAAGCCTTTTCTGTTAGGCTATCTGTAGTTATTAGAGATCAATTATCCTCATAATGAACTTCAAATTTAAGTTTTTCCTGTCCTGTTTCTTTCAAGTAATTAAAAAAACTTTAACCTAAAAGTTCAATAGTTAAAGTAAAATAAAAGTCTTGGCAAATTTTCCTATCATAAAAGAAACCATGTTCCTATTCATAGTTTTGTTCGAGTAGCCAGTTGTTAGTGGTTGTAGTTGTAAAAAGGGAAGAAATACCTATTAGATGAACAAGTAAGTTTCAAACTTTATAATGTATCCTCGGAGATTCAGATGCCTTAGATCTACAGCAGGGGTCAGCAAACTACAGCCCATAGACCAAATCTGGCCTACCACGGGATTTTACTACTATAAATGAAGTTTCATTGGAACACAGCCACACTCATTTATGTATTATCTATGGCTGCTGCTTTCATGCTATAATGGCAGAATTGAGTAGTTGCGACAGAGACAGTCTAGCCCACAAAGCCTAAAAATGTTCTACACTATTTGGCCCTTTCACAGAAAAAACTTTTCCAATCCCTGCTCTAAAGGAAGGAATCTATATTTTTAAAAGCACTTCAGATTATGCTGACGTAGCACACTTCATAAAACAATGCTATAGAGACAGCTGTAGACGCTTGCGGTAGCAACATCAGGAATTCCTGGCTAAAGTATGTACTTAAACTATTTCTAGTTGCTACACATACCGAATAAATGTCATTAACTTGCAGTGTATAAATATGACAGTTCAAAAGTCAACACAAATAAGGCTTTTAGTGATATACACAGAATTGTGAGCCTAAAAAACTGATCAGAATTAAGGACCCAAACTAAAAAAATATTGATAATAGGATGGGGAACTGCCAGGATTCTAAATGCCTCCATGAAATAAGAAAAGTTCCCCATATACCTACCAGGCTTCTACCAATGATGTGGTTTCCACAAAAAGGATCTGCTACATCAAGAGTATGAACAATTGCATTTTTCTTTTCTTGTAACTGTTTATAAAAAGAAAATCTCTTCTATAAGAAGAAAGTCTCTTCTTTTGGTTTAAATGTATAATAATAAAAGTTAAAAGGTAACAAACTTTGAAGCTGCTACCACAGCTTATAGGTACTAAACTTAATACCAATTCACCTATATTATTGTTATTAATAACCTATATGCAAATATGTTAATACCTGAAAGCTTTCAAAGACTAAGAGCAGAATATAAAGAAAATGCAATGAATCAGGAAGAAAAAAATTCTACAATATATTTACTTTATGACATCTATATAACCACTAAAGAAAAATCTGCATTTTTATATTTAATCTAGGATTTTAGTTAATTCATTGCTTTTCCAATTTAATTTATACTTTAAGCTTTCAGAATTTTGTTAATATTAATGCAGAAAAATATACATACATTTTTCACTAATACATGTGGCAGGCAGAAAAAAACACCTTGATTAAATATTATCTACAAAAATAAAAACCCACTCCATATAGGTAATAATAACTTCAAAAGAGAAAATATTTCACAAATATAACACTAGACTTGAGAAAAACTATTTCTATTGCTACAGCATGCTACATATGCAAATTAATTTTCAAAACATTTTTAGAGACTGCAATTGTTAAAAATAATTACCTGCAAGCTGTGCCAATCGATCATGAAGCTTGTATAAAGTGTTCATCATAAGATTTTTTTCATTTTCCTAAAATTAAAAGAAATTATTTTAAAATATCTATGTAACTCCAAGAAAAACACATACACCAAATAGTAGTCTTACCCAAAAAGAAAAGCATAAGAAAATTTAAAATCATAGATACTATATAATCTAAAGGACAAATTCATATTTAAACAATGGCTACCATATTTTAAAGAAACTTAAGCCTAAAATCTAAATAATCACTTTATATATTTTACTTTCTTGAGGATGATCGGGAAATTGGCACTAAGGTTAGTGCTAAAAATGGTCTCATACACAACAAACTTCGCCAACCACCAAAACAATGCTCCTCAATACCCTCCCCCGGACCCCCATACAATAGCATGTTTATGTATACTGTCCTTATGACACTATTTTCTTCTAGGCTGCCCTTCATGTTTTGTTTAATCTGATTCAACCACATAATAAGGGAATGAGTACTGACACCTTGATTGAACCTCAACATCTCCTAAGCTCCCAAAGTGGCCCTGAATAAGCTTATGAACCATTAAAGTAAAAAAAAACATTTAACAAGTATTTACTATGAGTTAAGATTGTTCTCTGTGCCCTAACCGGTTTGGCTCAGCAGATAGAGCGTCGGCCTGCGGACTCAAGGTCCCAGGTTCGATTCCGGTCAAGGGCATGTACCTTGGTTTCGGGCATATACCCAGTAGGGGGTGTGCAGGAGGCAGCTGATCGATGTTTCTCTCTCATTGATGTTTCTAACTCTCTATCCCTCTCCCTTCCTCTCTATAAAAAAATCAATAAAAAATATATTAAAAAAAAAAAAGATTGTTCTCCACAAAGCAAGAGATCCAGTGAACAAGATGATTCTTGTTCCCAAGGGTAAAAAACATATCACAGTTGCAAACAAAATATAATGTAAACATAGAAAAGAGAGAGGGAAGATCTATTTATGGAAGAGAGAATATTTGAGTTGAGTTTCACAAGAATAGAATTTACCAGCATTCCAAGCAGAAGAACATCCATGAGCAAAGGCATAAAGGCATAAAGGCATTGTTATATTTCTTACATAACCAGTAGCCTACTTTGACTCAGCAACCTACTAGAAAAGTAGTTTGAAATAAACTGCTAGAGAACCCTAAATACCAAGACAAAGAGTTTGACTTCATTTTGAAAGCTTAGGGGGAGGAAAGTAAAACAGACACGTGCATCAGGACCTTTACTCTGACCACATGAAAGGCAATTAGAGGAGACTATTGTAATGTCTATGCACCCTACCAATTAGTCTAAAGCAATGAGACCCCCAATTTAAGAGCAATCACAATTAAGAGAGACCAATATAAGCAATGGAGAATAATAGGTTAGGAGAGCGGGTAATAATAGCTTATTACACTATTTGAAATAAATTCATGATTCACGAGGAGGGCTGTATTATTATTCCCTTTTTCCCCCTAAAGTGTCTAACAAAACAGGATTACTGTATGAATACAACCAAGAGCAAATTCAGACAAGATACAAAAATCTGGAAAATTATATGTCCAATAACATGCGACTTCATCCATTTATTTTCATGCTATATATTCAGAGACAGGAGAAAAGTTTGGACACTATAAGTGGCATGCTTTTGTCAATGCAGTGACACTAAAGAAAAAAGAAAACTTACCAAAGGCTCCAAATCCTACCACCAGAGTCCCTGGTTTTATGTGAGATTGTTGGTAAGAGACAAGTGATATTCCTTCAGCTGACTACTTGCCTTCCAATCCTTTTGATTTTCTTCCCCCTCAACTCTATCTCAACCAGATTCTGAATCAAGACAGTCCTTATCTTTGCATAAGCTTAAAAATCCAAATTGCAAAAGTCAGACATCAAAAATAACTGCAGGGGCCCTAGCTGGCTTGGCTCAGTGGATAGAGCGTCAGCCTGCGGACTGAAGAGTCTCAGGTTCGATTCCAGCCAAGGGCACATGCCTGGGTTGCGGGCTCGATCCTCAGTGGAGGGCGTGCAGGAGGCAACCAATCGGTGATTCTCTCTCATTGATGTTTCTATCTCTCTCTCCCTCTCCCGTCCTCTCTGAAATCAATAAAAATATATTTTAAAAAAATAAATATATTCATTATAATAGAATGAAAAGGAATTCAATGATAATGTAGACTGTGGACTTGACACATAAAATCAAGGTAAATCTGATTAGGCTCTGAGATTAAAGTAGCTGAGAGTAAAAAAATAAACAAATAAATAAAGTAGCTGAGAGTTTTATCGTTTGTCTCCTCCGTTATTTGGAAGTGACTGATTTCCTTTTTGCTTTATGTTTATGATGAGTAGATCCTCATCAAACCCATCCCCACTTTCCTACTGAAAATAAAACTAAATTCAAAAATTTGACACTTGCTGTCTGTGATTACATCTTTAATGAACACCAGAGGCCTAGGAATATACTTCATCTTTTGATTCACAGATATTAACACTGGACTAGATAAGTAGAAGAAATAGCAAAATCAAATGTAAATGAATCTCATACTGGATAACATACATACTATTACAGTCTCATACAAAGAATTTAAGCACTCAAAAAGCTCCACTATTTTTTCATGAATTATTTTTCTAGTGATGACTTATTCAAAAAGAACATCTATATATAACAAGATTCTCAAGTGCCATCCAAATGGACTATGTTATTAATGTGAACAAATCAATTTTGAGAAAGAGAAAGGCTTTGTTTGGTTCAATTATCTTTAGCACCAATATGCTAAACTAGAAGTAAATCTAAAAAGTATGTAAATCAAATATTAAAGTTACTTTCTTTATAGAAACTTATATTGGCTTATAGTTGCATTACATTCTTCTTCATTTCAGACTGCTTTTTAGATTGACACTTCCAATATTCAGCTTGAAGGTGTCTAACTAGTGGCTTCCCTAATCACCCCAAAAACAAGTTAATGATCTACCAATAAGTCCATATTTAAAGTAAGCTTTCAAGTAATCTTTCATTAAACAAAGATAGTTTTATAATTTGAGATAGCTACCTTCTAACTGTCTATTTGGTAAGGTCCAGATTTTCTTATAGTAATACATATACTCTAAAGCAAAGTTCTTATTCTTGGGAGAAAAAAATCAAACTGTAGAGAAACTCTACCAAATTTTCTCATATATTGTCCCCTTTAAATATTTCACTCTTCTATCCTCAGCCAATTTTCTCCTCAAAAATATTTTCAATTATTTGTATTATGTATCTGATTAAATGATAATGAATTTTAAACACTTAGCATGGTGCCTGGCACAGAATAAGTGGCTGCCATCATCTTTATTATTACTATTATTATTTAGAGCCGGGGTGGGGAACATCCAACCCATGTATAAGGCCCTCAAAAGCATTTGGTCTGGCCTTAAGGCATTAGCGTGAATTAATTAAAAGTTTGACCAAATATAGCAGGCTAATTTTTAAGTTAATAATTCTGTATGGCCTGCAAATGATGTTATAAATATCCAAATGGCCATTGGCAGAAAAAGCTTCCCCACCCCTGATTTAGAGGTTCTGAACTTCAGTTTCCCTCATGGGAAAAATTATACAGAAGAAAATGAAGTCTTGTATTTCCCATGTTCATTGAGTACATTGTACAAATTTAAATTATGGTACCAGTAGCAGTGCTGTACTTAAAAGTGTAACTGTCAACTCTTTTAAAACAAATTATCTCAACAGAATATTACAAAAAATAATCATTACAAAGTCTCACCCTAACAATCTAGAGTAATATTCTGTGGAACTAATTATACACTATTACACATCCCTCATCACAACAAATAATGTATTCTACACAGTTCTATATTACTGTCAAGTCCTACAATTAAAAAAATTAAGAATTTTGTATTGTAACTCAAATATCAATTTTTGAAGTGTCTATATGATGGTAAGCAAAAAATATTTTCATGTGAGTAAAATTGGTTAAAATTAACATTATAGATCCTTTAAAAAAGAAACCATAAATAGCCAGCCTAAGGGGTGTTTATCTCTAAATCCTTTGCCTTCCTGATGGTGGAACAGGCATGCCAATGAGCAAAAAGTCCAGAGAGAGACAGGATGAGGTCAAAGAGAACAAAAACTACTAGGCTAGGATATCCAACAACTTATGAAAACATGCATACTTTTAAGGATAAGGCCAGGTAGACAACACACCACTGCCATTTTACTGGACAGCTGGTTTTTACCTTAAAGTGATAAACAGTTCAGCTCTTAGAGAAAATCTGTGTCAGATTTAGTTACACTACAGTTAAGGAATACTAAAAAGAGAAAATTTATTGCTTCAGCCTAAA